AAGGGTGACTCCACGCACCTCTCGGGCCCTCCTTACTGGGGGCCCGGGAATGAAGGGAGGACAGACCACGTGCACCTTGTCCACTGATTAGCTATCGTATGCCGACGGACCAAGCCACATCACCTGCGCGGGGCCCAGGTCTTAATTATTCAACGACCACTTCAACTAAGTTGTACCCTCCGTATCTCACAAAGATCGCACCCTACGCTCTCTCTCATCTCCAGCTGCTCTTTCCTTTGTTCGGGTCGCTAAAGAAGACAAGAGAAAAAGAACAAGCGGTAGGGAGGAAAGGGAAAAGCTCCCATGGAGACCAACTCAGTGTCAACGGTGGGTTCTCTAAATCACTGTGGTAGAACGGAAGGAACAAGGGAGACTGGCGTGGTTTTTCTAGGTGAAGTATACTGGATCGTCCAGGAGAGCAGAGGTTTCTGCAACCATGTCGCTCGCGTATTAATGGTCGGGAGATGCACCCACTCAATCGCCAGAGACGATAACTTACATGGTAGTAGTAAATGTGAGCGAGGTTGGTTAATGGCAGTCACCAATCTGCAAAGAAAGAAACCTGAGAGAGAGAGAGAGAGAGAGATTCTCGTGGTTCACATCCAGGGCACAAAATAACTGTTCATTAATGGCAGCAAGTGAAACCAGAAAGTATGAGGTCACCCTAAGGCTAGTATGTCCGCTGAGAAGTAAAAGAAAGAAAGAGGAAGAGCATGAGTTCATCGTTCACGTCTCTCTTCATTCAATTCCTCTCCCCCAAAACAAGGCACATTTACTGAAGCATATGATCTTTCACACTCCTGCGCGTGAGACACGAACAACATGAGGATTTCATCATTCACCTCTCTCTCTCTCTCTCTAGAAGAATAAAACATTTGCTGAAGCATACTACTAGAAGACTGAGAATGACTTTCTTTCCCTCGAGTCATCAACACAACCACAGGATAGCAGGTGTAGATCAGAGTATGCATGGCGGACACGTTTGAGAGTGAACTGTAGCAGCCAGCTTGTCCTTCTTAAGAGATTCATGTGAAAGTTAGAAGATAAACTTCGAAGAGAAGGAAGAGCAAAGAGGAGCTGAATCCAACAGTAACACTAGCACTAGCAGAGTCTCTTCCTACCCATTCCCACATAGCCGCCACACCCTCTCTCTCTCTCTCTCTCTCCAAATATTGACCTTAAGGTACAACACCACCCCACCAAGAAGTTAAATGAGCAATGGCGTGCCCTCTTCTTCCTGTTCCCCATCTTCACCACCAAGATCATGTTCATTAAAGCCAAATAATATAACCACTGCTCTTCACCACGCTGTCTCCAGCAGCAACACAATGTAACTTCACCAAAGCTGAACAAAACCAGCTATAACAAGGGAAAGACTGAAACAGATAAAAGAGAAAGAGGAGGAGGAGGAGGAAGAGAACATAAGAAGAGCTACTAGACCGAATGAAAGCAGACAAAAGGGAGGAGGAGAGAGGAAGAGAACCCAAATCTGAGACACCCTATAGCAAGAATTACAAGACTGGCGGTGGTGCATGGAGGCCGGCGGGCTAGGGTTTCTTACCGAGGGTTTGCTTGTTGTTGTGCATCCAGACCTTGAGTACATGGCGATCGACGCAGGTCTCGCCGCAGAACTGCTGCACCGCCGCCTCGTCGTGCTTCTGGATCCGCCACCCCACGCGCTCCGCGAATGCCAGCATCTTCTCCTTCTGCTCCTGCGTGAACTTGGTCCGGGATCTCTTCCTGTGCCCTCCCGATCCTGATGTGCCCGTCGCGCCGCCTACACCCACCAGCCCTCCCGCCCCCATCATCGGATTCGAGTCGCTGTCCTGGTCGTCCCGGCTCTGCCCTCCTCCGCCGGAAGTCGACGGCAGCGCGAGGAGCTGCGGCCTGTGCTGCTGCTGTGCGGACGCGGCCACCACCATGTGATGGCGATGGTGCAGGTACCCCGCCGGCGTCCGGTAGAACGGTGAGAACCGATGGTAGCACCCAACCGTCTCTAGCACGGCCGCTCCGCCACCGCCCTCTTCCTCCCTCCGATGGAAGTTGCGGTGGCAGCTGCACGCGGCGCATCGGAGCGCGTCGAGCGTGTCCTCCTCCCCGGCAGCCAAGAACTCGCTGCAGCCGTCCACTGCGTGGCCTCCGATAGCCACCGCGTGGTTCTTTAAGCACTCCCTGTACCTCACTCCCCATCCACCTCCGTCACCGCCCACCTTCCGTTTCCCCGAACCTGACACGGCCGCTTCCTCAGCTCCGCCCGCGCTGCCTCCCATTTTATCTCCTCCTCCTCCTGCTCCTCCACGAGCTGAATTCGGCATGGGGTTATCGTAGCCCGAAATCGCCAGTAACCCCATCTCCTCATCAGCCTCATCGTGATCTTCGAAATCCATGTTCACAGCCGGTCCCCCACTCAGATCTCCGTCTTCCTCAGGCTTCTATCTCTTATTATCTCCTATCTTTAGAAGTCTAAGAGAAGGAGATGAGAGAGAGAGAGAGAGAGAGA